CACTTACTTAATGTTGCTGTTGATTGCAGGAACTTGGAGAGGGCAGAATACAAGTTTAACTGATTGCTGTATCGCAATTCACTTTTATTATAAACACTTGACACCCCCTCTAACACGAAGAGGAGGCAAGCTACAAAAGTATCTGCAAATGAGAAAAATCTACGATCTTTTATTTACTGCAACACGCCAGTGTTAAATATTAGCTTTTTGAAGAGAAAAAGACTAGTGTGAGCACATCAAAGCAAATTGCATACAGGCGCAGGATGAAAAAAATCAGAAACAGAAAAAAAGAGAAAGGACTGCACACTGTTCAGCTCCCAGTGAGCAACTTTATGTAATATAAGCTTTTAAACGTTTATGTTTGAGTACATGTAACAAGTACATATTGGAATTTATTTAGATTAAATGTAGTATTTCAGTGTTGAACTGTGTTTGGAGACACAGAAGCAAAATGCACAATTTGCTGTAAGTGGTAGACATGGGTACTGCTTGCTATTTTTAGAACGAGGGGTCTAGACCAACTCTGCAGTTGAATGCTCATTGGAGTGAGAGCCTGCTGTGTGGCAAGAGGTGGTATTAGTCTTTGGGGGTTGGAGATGTATGTGTGTTGTTACCTAAATGAACATCAGGCTTGTGTGTAGTTGTGTATGGGAGGAGGCATAACATCTCAACAGAGGAGGAGGAGGAGGAGGATGGAGAGTGAACTTGATGTAATGCAGCCTCTGGCAGCCATAACGCAGGTCCTTTGCAGCAGGTCACCAGTTGCTGCATGGCTGGCTGGGTTTATGAATGTACATTATGCTGCTTCAACATAATAAATATACATTCAGTAGTTCCTGAATGTATAGGAAGCAGTTGGTGTTTGCTTTCAAGCTGGTTTTGACAAGGAACTCATCACAATACGTCAGTAAGCTACCTAATCCGACTTAAAAGGTTTAATGACTGAAGGAATGATAACAGACAGACAGACAGACAGACAGACAGACAGACAGACAGACAGACAGACAGACAGACAGACAAATAAAAGGCATCTGGAGGAACCTCGTCACATGTATGAACATAAAGCTACTACATTTAAGACAGGCATATTGAAAGAGGGAGAAAATGTCTTTATGGCTTCTGCCCTTAATACATATATGAGCAGCATCTAAAATTCACCAGTACGTGTCTTTCTGATACACTTCATGGATTCCTTGTATCTGTATGTGTGTAGCAGTTCTGCCGTATCCCAGCAACCGTGCACTACAGTTGTGCGACATAACCTACAGGGGCATCGAGGCAAGTCCTGGCCAAGTTCTTTCATATGTGTGTGCATGGCTAGTTCATATGAATAATATAAGTATGAATGTGTGAGTGACTCACTTTTTTACTTATGTAATGTCGGATCCTTTGCTGGTAAGATGGATTGGTGAATTAAACCCCCTCTTTTGATCTGTGTCAAAGTCAAAGAAGTGAATTAGGGTTTCAGTTAGAAGCATTTTTTCAGTATTTCAGGCACGCTTTGATGCAAAGGGCAAACATTTATTGCATACAAATTGAATAATAACTTGAAGTAATATGGAATGTGTCTTTCTTCTTTTTCCAGCTGTCTTGTTCTTCAGATCTGAGATCAAACTATTTTATTTCAATAATACGGTGTGCATCCTTTAATGATGTCAGCATTCTCTGAATGAGTAATATCATCCATAATATCTGATTTTAGTTTATGTTTCATTTCCACTACTACTTCTTATAAATATAATTATTAAGTTTGTGTTTCACTTCTGGCAGAACTTTCAGAACATGATGTTTTTAGATTGTAATTCAGGCATTCCATCATTTCACAATCATGTGTGTGCACATGGCCGTAGGAGCACATGACATTCATCTACAAACAATTTTGCAGTTTCAGAAAAACTTTTTTAAGAGCAAAATATATATCAGAAAGACATAGTTGGAAGAGGTGAACCAAGTCCAATGATCTTAATCAGTGCTATTGCCTGTCAGTAATAAATAAACATACACACTCACAAGCCTCTGGCTATGCCACTTTTCTATTGTAAGGGTCCACTTCTGTAAAATCTATGGTGTTGCTGTTAAAAAAAAAGCCAATCTTACCACTACTATAGCACCACCACTTGACAAATATACGTATCACTGTATTCCCATTCCTTGGTCTATGTTTTGGACAGTTGTTGAAATTCGTTGGGTGTATATTGTTACAGTTAAGTGCCTTCAGGCTGCAATGAATGCGCTATAGTAAGAAAGCTTAATAACACATCTGCATCAGCAAAACATTAAAAGCAACACAAGTAACGGCTGATCATTTGGGCACATGTTTAATCCCTCACATGTTTCATTTTCATAATAATTGTTAATAATCAACAACCTCGTATAGATAAAGATATGATCCATTCAGACCAAAGCTGTTTTTATTGACCCAGGCTATAAATATGTCTATTTCTTGCTGTCGAAATGTTTACATGGTGCTAATGGGACTTCAGGGAAATTTACAGCTAGCCTCAAGCGGAATCTTAAAGGAACTGAGGTTGCTGCTTCACATCTGATTAAAAACAGACACCTTTACATTAAAAAATATATATTTTAGGCCATTACCAGTGAATATAAGAATGATCTGTGCATAGCCATATTTACATAATACAAGCAATTTACTTTTTTTTCTACAGTTAGAATATCCATCTGCAAACTATTTCACAATCTTGTATTTCATTTAACATTTCCTGTATCCATTTCAAAACTCTTCCTTAACTTTATAAAAGTGAAATTTACAATTTACGAGGACATTTAATAAAAGCATTTTTTTGGCCATTACCAGTGAATAAAACTTAATATAAGGTGATTTGGCTGGCAGTAGCAGCTCTGCAGCTTATAACTCATATGACTCACTCACTTTCTTTGTGGACATCCTGACAGTTTGAGCCGAAGCAGTTCAGAGAGGCGGCTTTCATGCAAAGGCAAAGGTAGGCAGCATGTCCTTGGCATTAGGAGGCAATGTTTGTGTGTTAACCAGTGCAAGGAAAAACAACCTGACTGAGTGCTATTAGTCCTGACAGAGGCTTTAGGGGATGAGTATGACGTCTGTCTTATCCAAGTTATGAAATTGGGGCCAAAGTTGAATTTATTCAGAATGGTAAAAAATAAATCTCTTCTCTGGTCAAACTTTTGTTCTGCCAGCAGTGTAACAACCCCAGAGGTGTTGGTGACAGAAATTACATATGACACGGACGGCTGGTCAACAGAAGGCACTACAGCACATTAAGCCCAAGCGTTCATATTTTTACTCCCCCTATACAGCACAGTTACTTTTGACAGCTCAAACCTTTTGTAGATATTCCTGTTTTATTTCAAATAAAAACTTCAACTGAAGCTTTAACTTGCCATGGTGAGTGTTTTACAAGACCACAATAACAGCAGGTGTGTGATTTTAACGAACATCTTCATGTTTTAAGCATCAAAGTTTTAACTGACAGTTGCAGTCAGTTCTTCTGGAAAGAGTTTTTAGTTCCCATTGAATTAAAAATTCACATGCACAATTTTTTTTTGATCACTTAAGAAGCTTTCTGAAGTTTAATCAAATTCATTCTAACCTTACCCTGTCTTGTGATTGGTTATATTGAGTTTCAGTTGGAAATACATCATGACACAGCAGTTACATATTTTGGAAGTGCTTTTTCTTGGGGGCACAGATTATCTGTGGCCTCTACTTGGAGATGAAAATATGTTGTGACAAATGAAGATTCTCCCAAGACAATGAGGATTTTCGGTCTAACTAAAAGTTCTGACTGTAATCATTTCATACCTTTAGGGGTTTTCCATAAAATGCGCTTTCTTACTGTTAAAAGCCACAACACCATCACCAGTTCAGATAGTAGTTTTTTCAGTCTTTAACCTGAATGTTTGAATGTTCAAAGTTATCTACGTTACCATAAAGCTACTTTGTGCAGTGCTTTACCAGTTTATTCACCCTGTCAATTTGTTTAGAAGGAGAATCAAACTAACAGTGCACATTCAGGAAAGTTTATTATTATCATTTAATGCATCAAAGACCAATGTTTTAAAGCAGTGGTGTCCAAACTTTTTTTTCCTGCAGGCCAAAATTGTCGTGTTAGAATCGTTTGCGGGCCACAGGTTTTGTTTTCTAAAATATAGTTGAAAAAACATTTTGTAGATCAGAATCAAAAGGCTCGCTAAAGAAACCCTTTAATAAAAGGAAATCAAATATTTAGATTTCTTCGTTCTACTTTATTTGTTTTTTTCTCAGAATCAAGCCTGTAACGTGGTTCATTTTTTTTGGAAAAGCTTTCTGCATTTAGCTCAGGTCATTAAATGGTTAAACAACAGTCCGCTTGTTTGCAAAAACTTTTAGTTTACAAAAAAATGTGGAAAATAGTAAAAGCTGTAGATTTAAAACAACAACAACATACATGTTACTGAACATTTTCTATGTTAGGAATATTGTTCAGCCCTTGTTAACATGAAAAAGGAAAATAAGATAATGTGCCAATCTTAATCAAGGCCTCGGGCCAAAATCTTCTGATTCTTCATTTGAAGTCACGGGCCGCAAAAAATCCCCTCAAGGGATGCAAATGGCCCTCGGGCCGCACTTTGGACACCCCTGTTTTAAAGGGAACATTGTGAACAAGTATTAAATGAACACAGAGTGGAGAGAGGAGGTAAGGAGGAGATGGACACTGTTGAGATGGAGGCGGCTGAGGAGGGTCGCAGCGATCAAACTGAAGGGACAGAGTGAATGCCAAAGAGAGGACAACAGATTCTGAAATATGACAACAGCAGGATGATTGGTCTATAGAGGTCATTATAGGATCTGGTTAGTTCATGCCCCAAATCTAGACACAGGGAGAGGAAGAGAGGGGGTACCATGAATCAATAATGACTGATGAATGTATGTATGAATGAATATGAAACATGTCTTCCTGCTTGTACTTACGCTGAGCGTTATTAACCTCTGATCCTAAAATTGTTTTTCCTTTTCCTTGCAGACTGTGCGTCATGGATTCCCCAACCAACCCACAGCTTTGGCCTTTGACCCTGTGCAGAAGCTACTTGCCATTGGCTCCAGATCAGGAGGTGTAAGGATGTATCCTTTTTTTAATCTTATGTGCTCACTTCCTCCCTTCACTTATCCAGGAACAAATTTACAAACGTATACCTTCATAAATACAATTTTCATCATTTGACATTCAAAACACACAAACATTACAAATCAATTGTCAATATAAATTATATTGACATATTGAATAATTAAGATAACATTTAATCAACATTTATTGTCATGGCATTTTTTTTTAAATACTCAGGGAAGTCACCGCACACAAATTATAGTCCTACCACTTAAAGATTCACACTTGAAACAATGACTTAAACTAGTATCTGGACTAATGACAATATTGGTCACAGGAACAGTGTGTTCCCTATCTCCTTCGATACAAACCTGTGGAAATGCTATAGTGTGTCTCCCGACCAGGGGCCATCCTCTCTCCAACCCCCCCCTCCCCTCCTGTTAGCCACGGATCATCCCTCTTTTTGCCCTGTCAATTTGTGTTGCTCGGCTGTCATGTCGCAGACTTAGAACTGTCCATCCAACAGCCCCATCCCCTGGGTTACCCGGTCACAAGGATGAGAGAGGACGTGTGAGTGCAACCAAGGTAGGAGATTACACTGCCATAAACACCCAGTGTTTCCAGTCTGCCTTAAGGGAACCTCGGCCAGAAGTGGCACACAACACAATTATTGATGCTGCATCAGCTACACTGCTTGTCCAGCTCGGCTGGGGCATTAAATAGAAATCAAGAGAGATTTCTCTGTTGGAAGAAAACAATAAAAAAAGAAGAGATAGTGACAGAGGGAGATGGTTTAAATATTTGAATGCAATGGGGAACAAAATATATATATAAGGCTAAATGTTGAAGACAGTAATGCATGATAGCAAAAAGAGACCTGAATGTGACTCGATAACATAATTAACATGGACAAGTTTCTAATACATTTTCTCTTAATACATACATTTCTCTAGTTGCATCTTGCATTGTCGACTTTGCACCAGAGCTGAGATTTCACTTAGATGGAAAACCTTTGAGTTTCTTAAGAAATTGTATTGACATGCTTCACATGCCTTTCTCTGCAATCTTGCAACCCCCATTGCACACACTTCTTTATCTTGCTTTTCTCACACTCTCCTTGTTTCTTATTTATTGTATTCAATTCAGCCTCACTCTGTCTTTAACGACCTTTCTGAATGTTTTTTTTCTTCTTTTCTTTGAAATGCTTTCAAACATCTGGCTGACATCTTTTGGATTGTCTGTGGGTTTTTTTTCTTTGCTTAAAGCTTCTCTTTTCTTTATGTTCCCCTTTGTGTTAATTCAGTATTCAATGATATCCTTTGAAAAAAATGTCTGATACCTATTCATTGGGACTACAATAGTCACTCCTGCTCTTAGGTTTCCATCTGCATCAATCCAAGTGTAAGTCCTGCAGACATGACCAATGTTGGCTAATTTACAGATCCAACACATTTTTTGTCATCACTTTAAAAAATAGTTCCGTTTTTTGTCTGTAAATGACAAGATTTATGTTTATTTTCTGTCAAGTAACCTTTATGTATCTCTTTTATTTAATTCCACTGTTGATTGCCTGGGTAGGATCGATGTTGTGCCTGTCCTTTGAAGGTGCCAAGTCTGGTGTGTGGGCCTCCATGCCTTGTGTGTACATGAAGAAGGGTGATCAATATATCTGAGTTTCCATGGAGTCGGGTTACTTTGCAAGAAAACATCTTGTTCTCCTCGGCACATGTATGTTACTGGAAAGCGAGGGTTGTTTTTTAGCCTAGGGCTGTGTTTTTATAATCATAATAACCTATATACCAGCTACATTTGCGGCACTTAAGGGATCAATGTGAATACAGAGGATATGCAAGATATAAATACTCCTTGATACAGGATTCCTCATCTAAGCCATATCTACATATTGCATGCTTTCTGCTTTCCAAACTTACAAGAAAATAATACTCAAGAGTATTTATATCTACTTCAAGGTTGTCACAGTTTTGAGGTTTTTTGTGTGGAAGTAAGAACAAGTATTCAAAGGACATTACGACACAAAAGTTCACTATCACATAGAGTACATCACGAGTTTAAACAGGCTCATGACCTTAATGGTATTAAAATGACTTGGATTACATTCACAATTAACAGACAATTAATCCAGGGTTAGAGCCTGTGGCCTGCCAGTACTTGTGCAATTCAAATATTAGTAGAATGGAAGGCCAACAAAGATAAAAAAGAAAATACCTGTGTGTCTTGTATTCTGAGCCTCTATCTTTTTAGGAATATATAGACATCTCCAGCATGCTAGTTTATATTTTGTCTGTTATTTCCGTTCAGAATATGATCTTCTCACTCTCCTCTCTGCATGTGCATGGCATGAAAGTATATTCCCTCTACAGGCTGAAGTGAACATGTACTAAATATGGATAATAACACAATGGAGGTTTTATCTCTGATTCTCACTGCTGTGGGCAGGTTAAGGAGAATAAACATTAACTCACTCTTTAATCCCACAAGTAAAAAAACAACCTCATAGACACGGCCTGCAATACGAGTTATTTTGATTAATTATTAATTCATTAATATTATGATTGTATTTGTTTGTATGGTGAACATCTTATGATATGTTTCAGGATCAAAGCAGTGGTTTGCCAAAATGTCCACAACAAAATGAAGGACAAATGACAATATGGCTTCTTAATTAAATAAGAGATTATGTGTGAGAATTTTTGTCATCGACGTCTGCTTTAAAAAGCAAATACACTGAAGTTCCACTAGCATTTGCCATCAGTTGCAGTTAGTGATTTTACAATGTTATCAATGAGTGTAACAGCAATGTTACATTTTTTTAAATTAAGTGATCAGAAAAATCTGAAGACATTATCTCTTACCAAAAGCAACAAGGACTGTTGATAGGCTCAAACATTTCCTTTCTTTATGCCTAAATCCCAGCTCCTGCACATTTCACCTGTTCCTATTTAAGCACATTTTTATTCTGTGCCTTGAACTACAGTTGTTTTGTGTTATTTGCATTTCAGAAATATCTACCATTTTCATCGCACTTTTAGTAATGGCTATTAATACAAACTTTTGGGGTCAGAAAAGAGTCACATTAACATATAATCTCTAGTGTCGAAGAATGTACTAGTGATGCCTCTAGAGTGTTTATTATCGCATATTTATTGTCAAAAGCTGAGGCAACCAAAGGAGGACAAGCTTGCTCTGGTGAGTGGTGCATAGAGACGATGTCATCAGGGTTGGCGCAGTGGGTTGGCAATGAGGCTCTCTGCAGTGGGCCCCTGGGACACTCCTCTCAGTGCTAGAGGCGAGATGATCAGAATATGCTGAGATTAGGTTTATTGAGAGCAAATATAACAGACAAAGAGCATGACTATCATGTATATTTTGTGTGTGTGGTGTGTATGTGTGTGTACACATGTTTGTCTGTTTTGTTTCTTTTTTTCTGTGCCTTTGTCCTTCTTTGTGTGCATCACTGCCGCCTACCCGTGTGTATCAATATCAACATTTTGTGTGCCTCCAGCAAGAAATATATTCATGTGCTCGTGTGTCCGTGTAGTGATGTAGTGGATGATATTTCAACGAAGTGTTTGAGTAGTTGTAGTGCCTAAAGATTGATTGGCAGTAACTTCTTATGATAGGCAATCCGATCAGAAAAAACAAGAATAAAAGAGAGAATAAAAGAAAAGTGTGAGGGAGTAGGAGGACAAAAAGAAGGTTTATTTGTGTATTCCGATTTTTTTAAATATGAGAAATTGATCCAATAATATCTTTATTGCTCTTATACTGATATAAAATAAGTTATGACATACTCAACATTACACTTGGTGCTGCGTTAAAAGAACCTCATTTGCATTTTCTCTTCGATATCAACACTCATTCAGTAGTCTTGGCTGAAGCTGACATAACACGTCTTCCTCTCTTAACTAAATGCACTGCAAGGACGTTAAGCCTTGCAAGACTGGCAGCACGAATAGCCTAGCGGTTATGTCGCGCCCCATGCACAGAGACTTTAGTCCTCATTGCCATAGCTGGGGGTTCAAATCTGACCTCTCTCCTCACAGCATTTCCTGTTCTCTTTAACTATCCTTTCTAATAGTGGCAAAAAGGCCACAAAAAAAATAGATTGGCTCACTGTCCTGACTAAACAAGGTAAGAAATAGACTGCAGCTTTACCTTCCAGAATGATTCTCTAATCAGCTACATGTTATTCAATGACCAGCTGCAAGCAATATGTCATCTAACTTAGCCATTGGAGCCTGAGAGGCCAAATGGAGTTGGTCACTCTGTGTAAACACATATTACTTCCCGTTATGATTCACTGAGTCTTATTGTGTTTGTCAAATAATACAATTAGATGGACATCAATTAAGCATTCATTGTTGTCACACTGTATCACTGGACATGTGAGGCCTGCAAAAGACTCATTATTTTTGCCAACAACAGCTCAGCTGCAACAGAAGATGGTCCCACATCATAATTTGTACAGTAAATTATGCTCTATTTACGTCATTTCTGTCACCACAAATATTGGCAGATGCACGCAACACAATCAAAAGAAAACACAGAAGTCTTGCCTAGCAAACCTGTTCTTGATTTGAGGATTAACATCACACTTTTAGTCATTTACAACAATCTCTGTTTTTTATTCGTGCTGCTTAGGAAAGAATCTGGTGTGTGGCGAGGTGTGTTCCTATCTTGAGGATTGAGAAATTGACAACACCCAAGACCACCCAAAACGTGGTCAAAAGTTCAAATTCTATTGTGCTATTTAGAGGACACATCACAAAGACGGGCATATATTCCTAGCAGACTTCCAGTCTGCCAGTTAGACACACAGAGACGCACAGCAGCACTCTAACTGATTGATTAAATATAATTTAGCATTTGCTGATAAATTCATATTGAGCTTTTATGTCAAAGTCAGAGGAAACGCTAAATGCTACCTCTTTTATGCCTGCGACACCTCTGAGAATCCTCCTCAAGCTGCACACCACCAAGAACTCCAGCTGACCTT